GCAAAGTGACTTCAGTCATTGGTTGTTGGCCTTGGTTTTTTCTTTACATGTCGGTTGTGTGAATCGAGTTTAGTACAGTGAGCCAAACACACGTGTGATTGGTTTATTTTGATTCGAATTGATTGTTGTTTTGGTAAATGAGTTGGGAATGGTGATTTTTGGGAGAATTTTGATTGTAAACTTTGATTATTGTTATATTTGATTTTGAACTGTTAATTCAATAGACTTTGAGTTTTTAGACAAGTTGCGAATTTCTTGGGCTCGTATTTTTACACAATCTATCCCAAAATAGTAATTGCCAAAAAATATCAACCTGTTTATATTGATTTCAATTTTTTTAATTAAAGCAACTTAAAGTATTTTTTTTTTCAAATCGGTTTGTTTACATGGCACCGTGCCTTTCGGCACGGGTTACCCCTAGTTTATAATATAAAACAAGACGATCTCAATAAGTCTATCTTACAGTTTCAAATTTATTCATCTAATAGCCAAGAAATTACCTCTAAAAAATTCAATTGATCTACACAAAATTCCCCACCCCTCGCTTTTCTGTCCCATCCCCAGCCGTTGATGAAGACTTAAAAAAAAAAAAACCCCTTTCAAGCTCACTTGTGCTCTCTCTCTCTCTCCCTCTTGCATCATGACTCTTCCCTCACCAGTTTCATACCCCCTTTTCTCACCATAGCGCCACTTCCACTACCAACGCCATTAGGACTGCATACCAGCACCAAGCCACCATCTTTGGTAATCCCTCCAACGTGCGAACCCCTTATTTTCCCCAACCCTCCCCTCCCCTTGGACCACTCTCAAGTTATCTATTTCACTTTCTGTTAAACCCATCTCCCCAAAATTTTCAAATTTCACAAATCCCTTTCTCACATGCATGAATCAACCCCACAACCTTCTATCTTCTCTCTCCTCTGTTCTTATCACTCTCTCTGCAACACCAACCACCATCAACAAACTAATGCCACACCACTCACAACCATGACCCAGATCCACACCCACCAGTGATGCTTCTCTCTCTCTCTCGGTTCAATCCCACACACGTGTCCACCCAACACCTCCACCACCAACTATAGACACCACATGTTTGTCAAAAGTTCTCATAGAGTTTTTGCTCTATTTCTGCCAAAGCACTGCATTTGTTTATTTCTCTCTCTCATTTGTTTGTTCAGTTACCACTCATTTTCCTGAAATCAATCTTTCTGTAGCTAATAGCTTTTTTTTTTTCCCGTGAACACATGCAACTTAACAAAGAGGATTTGACAAACTTAATTGCTCTATTGATTGGAAGCCAAGCACACAATAATCATTTTTTACTTTAACTTTGGTTAGAACCTTGCTCTGTAACACAAAATTCATGAATCAATTTGACTTTAATTTTATTGAAATTGAATTAAAGCTAATAATGGTACTAATCATTCCAATCCATTGAATTGTTTTTTCCCATTTAGGTGTTTGATGAATTTCATGATTATGGTGCTTCACCCAAATTAATCCAATGAAGGTAACAACTTTCATTCAATTTTACTACAAAGACCTCTTCTTGGTCTTTTTTATTTGTTTTTAGTTCTTGAAGAAGTTTTTTTTATTAGTTTAAAATTATTATTATATTTTATATAACAACTTTGAGATTCATTGTGTTTTCAAAACCCTCTGTAAGTGGGCATGCCTTTCATTAACATAGTGACTTGGTGTGAAACTTAAGTTTAGATAATGTTTGTGCTTGAAGGCACTATGCAACATAAAAAATCTATAATTATAAAGAGATGTGTGATGGTTTTCGGTTTGGTAACAAAGTGCGGTCCATTGGAGTGGTAAGATAAATTTTGTTAGTCGGTGCATATTGGTTTGTGTGTGATTCAATAATAAATTTACAAACTATTGTTTAAAGGATGAACCAGTAGCCGATGACACTTGCTCATATATTTTTATTTTCTTTTAATCCGTTTGGAAAAAATAATTTGTAATTTTTTATCGATTGTTGTTTATTTCTATTCCTATTGGTAATTTGGCGTCATAATCCTATCAGGGATTTGGTATTCAATTTAGATAGTTTCTCTCAGTTATTAAGGCCTTTTTTCAAATTTTGTAGCGGCCTAGAGCATTTGCATCTACTTAGAGAGTTTGACCATGTTGGTTTTAGCTGTCTAACAATTTGGAGAATGCCCTTCATGTAAGAAGACAAGCTTTTGGTATGTAAATTACCTTTTTGATATGAACTGCATTGTAGCAGTTTAAACACTTCATATCTATACATGTATGCATTGAGTCTAAAAATCTCTTTTACTCTACGTAATTTACAATATTTCTTGATCAAAGGATGCAAATGTGTTTGAATTGCATTGGTAGTTATGATGTAATTAATCCGGTTTTTTATTGGTTAAAAAAATTATTAACCCTATAATATGCCACAACATTTGACCTATGTGTATGATTATAAAAAAGATATAACAATTAAAATGTATCCATTATTGGCCTTAAATTCATTGTTGAGTTGGTAAAATCAAAACATGCGGAAATAAGTTGCTTTGGGTTTGCTAACCTGGGGCTCAGTTTGAGCTTAAATAACTTCATTCCTCTTTTTTTTCTTTACTCTTTTTTGGTGCCAAATAACAGTAAGTTGCCAATTAAAGTTTTTCCTTTCTTAACAAGATTCTTTTTACGAATGATTGGACAATAGTGAACGGTGTTGTGAAAAGCGAGCCTAGGCGAGAAGTGAAGTGAAGCGAGCCTTGGTTGCCTTGAATATCTAAGGCGAAGCGAGGTTAAGCAAAGCGAGGAAAAAACGAGTTTAGGCGACGAAGTGAAAAAGCGAGCCCGGCGAGAAAAGTGAACGCCTAACTGTAATTTTTTTATTTTCTCCTCCTCCTTCTTTAACATTAACAACCAACCCTAGCAGAGATAATGTTATATGTGTATATGCATAAAATAAATTGATTGATTCGTATAACAGTATCATATGACAATCTGTCTTATTATGATTAGATAATGTTGAATGCTTTGTTTTTATATGAATGCTCTTGTTAATCAATTTGCTTGGTTAATCAAATTGATTAATCAATTTGCATAAAATAAATTGATTGACTCGTGTAGCAGTATCATATAACAATCTGTCTTATTATGATTAGAAAATGTTAAATGTTTTGTTTTTATGTGAATGCTCTTGTTAATCAATTTGCTATATGCTCTATTTAATTATTCAATTTGTGAGTACTTTGTTTGGTGGTGATATTAATCAATTACGGTGAAAGTTGAACCCACATTTGCTAACTTTACATTTAGATGACGTGATTATATCAATTGATTATTTTTAGAATACAATAATGTTCAATAATTAATATCTTGTCTATTTAAAATATGTTGATGTTTATTATTTTGATTGCATTTAAATATTTAATATTTGTAAAGTTAAAACTTGAATATTTAGGAGTAATCTAAGTATGAAACTAAAATATTTGCCTATTTTTTATATTGTTCGTTTTGCTTCAATTAAGCGCTCGCTTCGCTTCTCACCCTCAGGAGACCGGTTCTCTTCGATTCGCTTTACGCCTTAAATAACACTGGTAGTGAAATTCCAATATCATCTTTGATATGTTTATGTGCATTCATTTTAAACTGAATTCAAGACCTAATGACATCAACTTTGCTTAGTCATTGTAGTGAGTTCTATGGCATATTTGCTTTTCATATATATATTTCCCTCATTGTCTTTGTCAAGACGAAAAATTGTTGATTTTTGAGCGTTAGTGACCTCGATATGAATGTTTATGTAAGGGTGAAATACTAACACTTCCTTGGAGTGTGTATTATTTTAGGCATTCTCTATGTTAGGTTTTATGCACTTTGGGTATGATAACGTGTTTGTACTTTTCCTTCAATGAAAAGAATTCGCACTTTGTTAGAGAGCAAGTGCATTTCTCACGTCTACTACCCCTCTCACTTCTATTGCACTTTCTCACTTCTCCCTCTCTATCATGTCTTTCCTCTCTATTGTCCTTCTATCTTCTTTTATTCTTGCCTTTCTCGCAACTCCTTCTATTTCTATGTTCTTAGATTTTAAATATTTTTTGTGTGCCATAACATTGTGTTTGTGTTTGGAGAATTGCTTTCGAATCTTATGGTACAACTCTTTAAATTAGAGAGATTTTATCAAGCATTTTCCGACTGTTAACTAGTTATTGATTAAATTAAAAAAGTGTCATTACCAAATTAGGCTAAGTTAATTGGTTGGTTCTATGTTTCATCTTTTTTTTTTCCTGTTCTTTTTTAGTGAGCTAATTTCTTCTTGAAATTTTCATGTTATTTACACCAAGTTTCCTCATTTTTCTCCCCCTAAAATCAGCTCTTGAATTACACAGAGAATCGAACTTTATCAAGGAAAAATTGTCTCTACCGAAATACTGCAAGTTAATTGGTTCTATGTTCAGTCTTTTTTTTTTTTTTTTTTTTCCATTTGCATATGTTTTTTCACTCTAATTTCTACTGGAAATCTATATATTTGAAATGTTTTACACTGTGATTGCACAGAACCTCCGATGGGTAGTCATGTCTTTGTTTTTACGCCAAGGTGAGAGGTAAAAAATTGGACTTGCTGTGAAAGATTGTACATTTTGCGTACATATTAGAAATCTGCCAATGGGGGGCATGTATCAAGAATCAAGAATCTTTATTGAAATATGTAACTGAGTTTATGTAACTGAGTTTTCCCTATCTCTTTATTGAAATATGTTTTCACAAGAATCTTTATACTGGTAATGTTTTGTTTAGCATGTATGCAAAGTACGGGTGTATTAAGAATACAGTTTAGACACTTGGTAATTTGGTTGAGCCTAATGTGTGTCTATATTCAATTTTATTTTTTTGTGTCCATGAACAATGTTCGATATATTTTTGTTATTACACAGTGCCTTCAGGTACGGGTTATCCTTAGTAAGATTATAAGAACAGATAATCGTTTGCTACTTTCAGCTTCTGATCTTCCATTTCGACTAAGAATGGATTCTTCCGTGAAGTCCTTCAATCCGAACAAGCATTTGAAAGAACAGTTACGACCTCGACAATCCCTCTCTCTAAGTGTGTGTTTATGTTGTTTATTACATGCTTAAAATTTCTTACATATCTATCGACCAGATTTGTGAGCAACTTGACAGGATCTTCCATGCTTGAACTCTTCGTACTCTCAACTATGCTACCTGTAAGTCCTATAATTCCACTTTTTCCTCAATCAATTCTTCAAAACATTATGATTTTATACTTTCTCATATTTCCTTCTTGTTATTTTGTGATTCTAGGTTGTGGTACTCATACGCCGTTCCATCGGTAAGATAAACGAATTGATTTGCTACATTTGGTTTTGCTTGATTTGCTACATTTAGTTTTGCTTGATTTGCTACATTTAGTTTTAATAATCATACTTGTACTCGTTTTAGTTTGGAGATTGGGGTGGTCTTGAAGAGGGGAGGGCTACCTGTCATTGTGTAACCTAGCTCAGTGGTCCAGAAAAAAGGGGAAAAAAGCCTAGTTCAGTGTTTCAAATTGTGAAAATTTGGTTAACTACTTGACTACAGTTTCCTCATCAAAAGGAGCTGTCAGCTGTATACCCCTGAACTTGGATTATTCTGCATTTCGATATCACTGTTTGGTTCTTTTGAAGTGTTGTACCAGATATCATTTAGGTGTAGAATTTAATTTCTTCATTAGCTCTCAATACAGTTTCGGTCGATTCTGTGTACTGTTTGGGTTATTTCATTATCTTAATTGAGCTCTGAATTACATTGATGGGTTTGTTGTGTTGGATGTTTTGTCTCTTCAGGCTCTGTTCCCACAGATACCACATCCAAGAAAAATGACAATCCTGTTGTTAATTCTAAAAAATGGAAAGGGTACTTCACGACAATGACTCTGGATTTCCTCTTCCTTGTTCTTCCTGTCTTATTACTTTCCACTGTAAGTGTTCTCACTGATCTTGAAGCTTCTGCTTTGACTAAACCATGAGGACCTCACACCGTCTGGTTCACTTTGGATTAACACCTAAGCATGGATTTTTTTTGTTTTGTTGATTTTTGCATCCTCAATAATTTTGAGTATTATCATTTGTTAGAATCAATGTCTGGTCATAAATTGGGAAAATGTTGCCATGAGGTTGTAAAATGAAGTTTACTCTAACGGTGAGGTGTACAATTTTGTATGAGATATTGTAATTATTGGTTTTCTACATAATTTAAGGTGGAGGCAGTATTAAAGATCAGTGCGGTTCAGTCATTAGAAACTTGCTTAATTGGTTCTCATGCTTTGGTTTTATATACTCTGTATTGCTGTTGTGATGCATGTTCCTCAAGTTGTTTCTTGTTTGGGATGGGAGTTTATTTTTATTTACAAGAATAATGAATGACAGGTTCTAGCAGAATGGACCTATATAAATGCAATTTTTGTGATGCTACTACTGGTTTTCTGCATTGCTGCTCAGAGGTAAAATTTACCTGTAATAGATTCTTTATCTTGTTTATGTTCAATTTTTTGGTCTTGCTTTTTTTTTTTTTTTTGGGTTAATTCTTTGTTGGAAGAAGTTTTAATAGGACATATCTAGATTGCATAAAAAACTGAGCATAGACATGACTACCACAAAATAACATACTAAAAAATCTATCTACCTTTCAATACAGATTTGGGTCTTCTGTTTTTCAGGAAGATGGGATCCGTTCTCTTAGGAGTAATATCTCATCGTATAGAGTTTTGATGGTATGCAGTCTCACATGCAGTTACATTTCTTTGTTTTTTAATTTTTCCTTTTCCTTTTGTGCCTATAATGGATAAACTCTCTTTTCCTTGGGATTTTTTATTTTGGCTGTAACGGTGCCTGATGCAGATGCTCGTGACATGCTTGTGTATTTTGGCTGTTGATTTCAAAATATTTCCTAGAAGATATGCTAAAACTGAGACTTATGGTACTAGTTTGGTAAGGTCCCTGCTACTATATTAAAGATCACATTTATGTATTTTCTCTGTGTGTGTGTATAATTGATCATTTTATTGCTTTAAGTTGAATGTGATTTCATTCCCATTTCATTCAGGGCTACTCATGTTTTAGTGCAAAAACCAGAGAAGAGATTTTATGATTAGTGATAGATGGTGCTGGAGCCTAGATTTTGTCCCTGGGAGAGGAGAAACCTATTATTAGTGAATACAAAGTCATCTTGCATTATCACTAACTTTGTTCACGATCATCATTATTACCTCTGTCATACAAAATCAATAACCTTTTTTTTTTTTTGGTTAAATTAAATTTTGTAAAAGCTTTTCGGTGTAAACTTTGTGGGAAAACAACAAAAAGAGCAGTCTTGAGCCACACTGCAAATGTGGAAACACTGTTTTGTGCCTTCATGAGAATATTTCTTGTTTAAATTATATTACAGCTTCTGCTTTGGTCGTTAGTTCTTCAGGTTCAGTCCTGGTGACACATTTTTTATGCTGTTGGAGCATGTTTTGAATACATTTCCATATTACTGGGAAAACAAAAACATCCAAGTGTTGTATGGGGGCCTAAATTTCAATGACATCCATTTTATTTTAGCTCCCTTTCCCTTGGCGATGAAAGAAAAAATGAGAGATCCATTTTAGGGGCAGGCACTTTTGTATAATTAGTTTTTGATGCCAAGACACTACGTAGTTTCAGCTGTCCTATTTGGGTCTCCAAGAAAGTTATTTCGAGAGTGAGAAGGGTTTTTTCTTTATAATAACTGTATTTTGTGATTTCTGTCTCTAGAACTCAATTATAACTGGACCTATGTATAACGAGAATGTTATTTTTGGATGTTGGAGGAAACAAGGGGGTTGAACTGCCCCTCTAAAGTCCTACCTGATATGGGAGGGGACTCTTTGTTCCTTTTGGCCAATTTTGGTTGTGAGGAAAAAGGGGGATTGGATGAAATGGGACAAATGCCTCTTTGTCCTGTGTTTGCCATAATCATCAAGAGCTGGACAACGATAGGATCAACTATATTGGTATCCGATTAGTGATTTGTATGTGGTAGTGTGGTATCTTGAGAGGATGGTATTTCCAAATACTCAAAGCAATCAAAGGACAAAATTGCCCTTGACACACCCAAATCCCCAATCTCCACCATCTCAATTGATGCTCACAGCTCTCTCTCCTCCCCCCCTTCTCCTATTTACTTCTCCATACCTTTGTTCATGTCGAGTCCATGGCTCTGACAACTCCATTGGTGACATTTTAGCGGGTTATTCTTATTGATTGCACTCCACTTCACCCTCTTCATTTTTTTATCAAAAAAATAGATGTGATCTTCACCAACCAAAACTTTAATTTCGTCTTCTAGGGTTTTGAAATGAGGTGGCATGTCCAGGTTTTGTCATGATCTGGTGTAAATAGTAATAACCCTTTTGTTTTTTGTGACCACACCAGATGGATCTTGGGGTGGGCTCCTTTGTGTTGGCAAATTCATTGGTTTCGCAACAAGCCAGAGGCATCTCGAGAATGTGAGTAAGTTTTTTTGCTGTTATCATGTTGAATTTTTCTTTCTATGAGACAAATGTATACATGATTGACAGAGGTTGAACTTGAAGTCCTGCTGTCTTGCTACTGCTTTCTTCTAGCAATTCATGCACTTTCATTATTTTAAAGTCACACTCAGTATCCTTCCTGTTGTAGATAATGGCTTGGTAGAACATCTTCATATGATGATACCTCCCTATCATCCTGACAAGGGATTCGGAGGATGAGTCTTATCACATACATATAAAGATGTGTATGTGTTTCTTATGCCTCATCTATTCGCCATGGGTGATTATGAATTTACTTGTCATTGAAAAATAGTTGTATGCCATAAAATTTATATAAGTTTATAGAATGTGTGGTGTAGTATATGAAACATAGTTATTTGCAGCATGTGCCTGTCCCAGTCCTATTGCTTTTAGGATTTTCCATGTTGACGTTTCCATTTCATATGGTCGTCATGCCCATGAATTTACTCGTGCTTCATAGCCTATAAGTTATGGTGGTATTATATATCCTAGTAGTGATTTCATTACTATAGCGGTATATCCATTGTTGAATTATAAATACTTAAATTAGACCATCTCCAACAGCTTAAGTTTTTAAAGTAGATGGTTATTTCATATGGTATCAGAGGAGGTCCTATGTTTGAATCACACCGTCATCCTAATTATTAAAAAAGTTTAGCTTGCACGTGAGGGGGCGTGTTGAATTAGATGTTTATCAGCCACAATCGATGATATTTTGAGGTTCTCACACATGGGAACCTATATTAAAGTAAAATCTAATCGATTTGTTTTTGAACGGTCGACTCTTGATGCCTACAATTATTTTCCAAAGTCCTTTTGCACATCATGGTCTCTTGCAATTGGAGTGGTTCTTGAGTTTTAAAAACCTTATAATTATTGGGTGATATAACAAATCTTGCCCATGTGTATTTGTTTCTTGCATCTTTTACTTTTTGTCAACCCCGTCTCCCGACCAGCGTGTGTGTGTGTTTTTTTTTTTTGGAGGGGGGGACTCATGGGAAAAAGGGAAGAAGTCCCCATAGTTTTGCTTTGAGAGTTGAAATGTACTTGACTTTACGGCTCCACTCATTGGAACCAATTTACTTTTCTCATTGTCATTGATTAATTATGAATGGACTTTCTTGTTTCTCCTTGCTCCTTCAGGAAATTGAGAAATGTGCTTCAATCTACTAGCCCACTAATTTTTCTAGGGTTTGCTCGACTTGTTTTCACGGCAGGGGTGGACTATCAGGTAGAATAGTCTTTTGTTTGTCTTTGTTTTTCACGCATAGATGATGTATTTGCTTATGGCAGTGGATGTATAGCAAATGGGTTAAGCTTGTGCTGGACTCTTGATCCTGTCAACCCGACTTTTTAAAATTAGTGATCTATTTATTTTAATGTTTTAAGTAGTGTTTTTATTTAGAATACATAGAGAATTGGCCATTTAGCGTTAATAAATGGCTTGAGTACAAGTCTGAGCTTTCCAATTTGATTATATTTTGGAGGGTTACTGATAGGAATCAGATTATATTTCGTTATAATAGGCGTAGACGTAAGGATTAAGAGTTATTTGTTATTTTACTTTTCAGGGGCTTAGTTGTCATTATGATTATTTAGTTCTTTTAGATTTGTTTTAGGATTTGTGTTCTCCCTCTGTATATATAGGGGATATGGTATTTGTTTTGGTAGACTTTGATTATTATTGATATTAAACCCTGATATTGCTTCTTCCTCAAATTTTTTCTCTATTCTCATCCCCTTCTTCTTTTTTTCTCATCCCCTTCTTCCTCCCTTCTCATCCCTAATTTTTTCTTAATACGATCTACATCAATTTGGTATCAGAGCTAGTACGATTTACACCAGTTACGTTGCGCTGTTTCAAACCATGATGCAAAGACACCTGTACTTAACTATATGTTCTACTTTGGTGCATATTTAGTCAATTGTACTTGGTCCTTCCAGTCTATTTAAGCACTTCAGTTCTAACAAGGTCTTTTGAATATCTTCTTTCTAATGAAATTGTTGTTTCTTGCTTTCCATTATCTCTATCCAGCCATTTTAACTGCCACGGTTATATGTTAACTTCTGCTGTCTTTGTTACTAAATGCTGTTTGAAAGCTAAAAATCTGGCCCATTGAAAGTCTTAATGCTAAGTTAATTGTGTCAAAATCTTTAATAGCTAGATTCTCGGAATAAAGCCAAATTTGTCTGTTCAGATTAAAACATAGAAGCATGATTCTCCGAGTGAGTTCACCATTTAGTAAAAAGTCGAGTCCCATTGACATAATATGGACCCCATCACATGTATTGTTTTTCTTACCTGTCCTTGCCAATTGTGCTTTTTCAAAGGCACATAACGGAAACATTATTGCAATTTTTAGGTTTTCTCCACTTATTAGAGTCATCATAATGACTTTTTTCCTCCCATATATAGTACCCATTATTAGCAGGACTTAGTATATCCGTACTGCAGCTTTGACGGTCTCCGAGCTTCATGATCTAAGTACTGCATTTCCTTGCCCCACCTTTTATGTAGGCATTTCTAAATGTTTATGTTTGCTCATAGTAATTGTGATCCACTCCTTTTTGCCTATTTAGCTCTCAGTAAAGAATTATTTTCACTCACTTTTTTTTTTTTTAAGTTGTGATATTAGACTATCTGTTTCCTATTTTTATGAATCCTCCCCAGAACTTGCAGTGACGGGAGCCTTGTGGATTGAGCCGCCTTTTTTTTTTTTTGGTGCTTGACACCTGGTCCGACATCTTATTCAATGCTCGATTTCTTATACACTTAGAGAATTGTACGTGTTTGGATATTTTGAATATTATGGGAGATAAGAGGGGAGTACATTGGTGAGAAGGATGGAGATCCTTCCTTAGACACAAATAACTGTTAGGGTATCCTAATCATGTTAGAATTGAATGTTGATGTCGATTTTGTTGTTTGTAGTTAAGTTTAATGGGATTATATATGCTAAATTTTTGTTGAATGTTGCTTAGATGTACGATAAAGAAACAAATAGTATTCCCATGGTAAATTGGTGTGGATGTCGTGAATTTTTTGCCTGTCATTGCCAAATTTGGTGGGAAGCTAACATACTTGTCCATGCTAAATCATATAATTTTCATTTGACAAAGAAGGAAGTTATATTTGTAACTCTGGTAGGAAATCAAACAATAAAATCAACAAAATTCTTCTTGGGAGAATGTTTCCTGTGGAGTCTAAAGCTTCATCCTGCACTATTGATATGATATTTTATTCTTCTGTCTTTGTAAAGTTTATGCAATTGGAATTGTTTCCTTGTTAAGTTCTTATACATTAGGACAACCTCTTTCTCCTCCTAATAGGTTCATGTTGGAGAGTATGGTGTACACTGGAATTTCTTCTTCACACTTGCTGCTGTTGCAATCTTAACATCAATAATCAATGTTCCAACAAATTATTGTGGGATTCTAGGCTCCTTTATTCTAATAGGTATACTTCCATGTCTATCTCTCCTTTTGGGTAGTATTCAGAAATGCATTTGGTTTTGTTGGTAATTCTGCACAATTTTTATATCTTTCAGGATACCAAGTTTGCCTATTGCATGGGTTAAATGTGTATCTGCTTTCTGACAAAAGGGGAACAGACATCATTAGCCAAAACAAGGAAGGGATTTTCAGTATATTTGGTGAGGATCATTTCAGATTTGATGTCAGTTAGGTTTTATAGTGTACATTCTTGCTTGGCCTTTAAATTGGTTATGCACCCATGAACGACTGTAATGGCTGTTATGCCTTGGCTCATTAAGCAGTGAGTGTATAGCTGAATAATGGCTGGCTGAAGTCTAGCATTTTTTGCAAAATGGTTTATGATTTCAGGGAGGAAAGGCTTTAATTCTTTATTTTGCAAAAGACTATTATTTAGAAGAATATCCGTAACTGTGAGAGAATTCAGGTGGTGTTCCTGCATTCCCTAGTACCCGCAATTTATGTACAGGACCAGACTATCCCTTTTCCAAGGCAAATTAGAGTTTATGAATCAAAATATGAAGCACATAGAAGTAATGGATAACGAAAGCGATAATTGTCACAAGTCAAATGATCAACACAAATAGGTTATTGCCTTGCCTGCCTTATGTATATGAAAAATGCTGCCAAACAGGCACACTCAGTAAACTGGGTAATGCTCTTTCTATCTTGAAGTAATATCCAGCTGAATTTGCTTGACAGAATTATTTAAAACAAAAGCAGTTTTTATAATTAGTTAACATTCTTCTTGTATCTCTTACTTCGTTTTATGAAAAGATAAAAAAATGAAATAAAAAGGTTGTATCTCTTGTTACTGATTTAGGTGATAGTGAACTTTTGTCAAGCAGCTAATTGTTTTTCTTCTTAGGATATTGGGGTCTGTATCTTATTGGTGTCCAATTGGGCAGCTATCTTTTCTTTGGAGATTGCTCCAATACCATATTGAGGACCAATAAATGGGCGAGGATTAGAGTTTGGATTCTTTTTCTTTTGTTCTGGTATGTATTTGTTTGTTGGAGTGCTGGAATATCTAAATATTTTCCCCTTTCTTTCTCTTGGAATTATTCCGACGTGATTTATTTTCTTTTCAATGTTGCAGGTTGTTAACTTTGCTTCTAGACAATCATGTTGAAAAAGTTTCCCGGAGAACGGTAACACATGTTACTAAGTTTTTTCTTTCACATTATGAAGGAAAAAGGAAAAAGTGAAAAACTCATCCTTAATTGTCATATTATAAAATGACCGTGTAACTGATGGAAAATTCTTTTGCAGTGCAACCTGGCTTATGTAACTTGGATATTGGCTCTAAACCTTCAGGTTATTCTCACTGTATTATATGCCTTAAAGAATAGCTGGAATATGATGGGCCATCACATCATTTATTTGACTTATTTTCACATATTGTATTGAAGTTTTTTTTTTTGAGACCTTGTTGCTTGACCCTTTTGTTTCAAGCTGAAGTGTTTCAGGCCTTTGCATGGTCTAATCTGTGTTTTGTCTGTGATTCAGCAATCCCAAAGTTTCTTTTTGAGCTGATTAAATAAAATAAGGAAAAAATAATATTTTTTTTTTGTTTTTTCCATTCTTTCATAACATAACTATAGTTAAGAGTCCTCTAGTGTGGCAAAAAAAAAAGTTTGTGATGCTGAACTGGACTCAATCGAAAATTCCATTTATCTCATGCTATTCTTTTGATATATAATAGAATGCTCTGGAAAAAAAAAGATTTGAAAAAACAACGAAAAAACATTCTCATACAGAATTCAAAGTGCCATGCTATTATTAGTAAATTATGGCAAAGGGATAGTCTTTTTTCCTCTCAATGAAAATCTGATTGGTGCAAAATGTGAGGCCCAGAAAATTACACAACATGGTTTGTATAAGTGGCCACTTTTTGCTTTTTTGTTTTGGAAAGTGAAAACAATTGTATTTCGAAAAAGGGATGTACGATATGGTTCAATACCCCTGCTCTAAGGCTACACAGAGCTGCTCTTGGTTAGAGATGCTCAACACTACCCAACACCTAGTCTAAAACTTAGAGGTGCTCTTGGACACTTTTTACTTGTCTCCCTTTTTCAGTGAAAAGGTCCATGGTGGGCACCATTAATAATCTAGCAGAAACTTGTTTTAAGTGACTCATCGGAGGATAGTGTCTTTTCTTGTGGTCAGATTGCACACCAGATAGTTATCAAAGGATTTCCTTTCTCAGGACATTTAAATTTGTCACCAATGTGGTGTGTGTAAAATATATATGTTTTTTTTTGTAATAGCAGAAATGTGGTATTGTTGGAGGCGATATTTTGCCTCAAGCAAAAGCAAGTGGTTTCTCCTTTCCATATATTGTGCATTGCCAAATGTGCCATATAGATTTTGTGAATTTTTCATCATTTCCCTCTGGAATCTACTGTAAGTGGTTGGTCTTTTAAATGGTACTGTACACATTTTGATACGTTATAAAGAAAATTACGTAGATACTTCTTGTGCTTACATCAGGTTAAATGAGATTATTGAAGGGGTGGTTGACTATGATCAGATATTTTGTAGATTTTTGGAAATTTTAACATCATGTGCTTTCCGTTTTAGTTTGGTCATGTCCAGTGTCCTCCATTTGGCATCTTGAAGGCTTCTAACCTGTTCTTATCTTTGATTTTTCATTTTTAGTAAGATTTTGCGTATTATTCTCTTCATTATGTTTTGTAATGGTTGTGGAACCTATATTTAAACTTTTGCGATGCATTTCCATCTGAAGTTTCTATATTTTTGCAGGTTTTAGCAGTGGTAATGCTTTCTGATTATATACCTGGACATAATATTTCAAAACTGGAAGAAGCATTCAACCGAAATTTGCTGGGATCATTTCTCCTGGTGAGGATAGCTACTGTAGTTTTTAATTATCCCTTGAGCTCAATATACTAAACTGATATTCCACATCTTAAATTATGCAGGCAAATGTGCTTACAGGGTTGGTAAACTTAAGTGTTGATACCCTGTTCGTTTCCTCAGTTCAAGCCCTTGCCATCTTGCTTCTCTATGCATTCGTTTTATCTGTTGCCATTGGATTTGCAGATTTTTATGGAATTAAGTTGAAGTTTTGGTAGAATTGACCTTCGCCGAAAGAATTGTATTTATGTGATTTGCAACATTATGAATGGACAGTTTCATCCTGAATGACTTTTTGACCACTTTGGTTTGATTTCTGTAAATCCAGTGTATTGAGATGGGCTCATCAGTTATAGACCTAATCCTTGACACTATTTGCACAGTGTCTGTCCTCGTATTCGAACCTTAACACTTTTATCATTACACTAAGCAATGACTCCATCTCAAGTCCTTGAATGACTGAAACAATTACATGTTGGCGACGCTACACTGCACGTACTTGTAAATGTTACGACAATTAGAAGCAATGCTATGTCTTACATTGGACTATAAATATGGAACCATGACCCATGATCCCAGAGGAAAGGCAAACCCATGACCATGCACATGGATTTACCAGACGTGGTATCAATAAAGTGTTCATCTCATATTTTTTTTTTTAATCAAAGGATAACTACAACACTTACACTTAAAAGCGTAAGTGTGTTCATCTCGTACTGAATTGTACATACTTGTGCATCTTTATCGTGCACATTATATAGTTTTACTGCCTCCTAACCGTACAAATACTGTGTACCATAGGAAAAGCAAGCTGGACCCATTAGCCAATTGGTGTTTGAGGGGCCCAGAGAAATAGAAAATCTTAAAAGAAATGGAGTTTTTTTTTAAAATATTTATTACAGGATGTTCAAACTTACGTTAACTATTCTTTTGAATTTATCAGTTGATCATCATGGCTTGAACTGAGTTATAACATGTTTTTAAAAGGACAAAAAATGGTGGCTACCTTTTAGGGTGTATGAGAAGTGATTGAATTTGAAACTTCTCGATTATCAAATGTCATGCTCAATCATCATCGAATCACCCTACAGATTGAAAAAAAAAACGAAAAAGAAATGGAGCTTGAGCTGCTTTGAATGTGGATGATTGCTAGGGATATGGAAATATGTACCTATGTAGAAGAAGCTGGTAGTCACATGGATTCCTCTGCAGAGTCTTCTGACAGCTTGGACATTGGTCCAGGGTCCCACTCATCCATCTTCATCACCAGATAAGGCAACAGTTTGCAGTGTTTTGCTGTTTGTTTGATTGTTTCTCTCTCTCACATTATGTGGGTCTTTAAGTATATTTATTATGGGTTTATATGTGCATGTCTATCCCAACAGGTGGCATAAAAAAGAGAAACAAAACGGATACCATGTACTATATTTTGAGAAGATTTACCTATCATATGAATTAGGTTAGTCAAATAATGAGCCAATGTATTGCATAACTAGGGGTTCTTTGTGCAATGCATGGATTAATGGGTAGATTTGATGCGATTAAGACATAGGTGTAGTTAATTTTTTTAATGTAAGTGTGGTTAAATCATTTATAGTGGTTAAAATATAAATTATTTGACCGATCTGCTATAATCTATATAATAAAGTAGTTTACAATTCAAGTTTCAAAAGATAAACAAAATGACTTTTACTTTTCGCAGTTCAAATCGCTTTAAATTTTACTTTAAAGTTAATCTAACGGTTAATATTAACACCCTAAATTTAATAGGAAAAATAGGGCCATAAGAGTGTGTTTGGAATGACTTTTTAAAAGTGCTTTTAGAACTTATAATTTCTCATAAATATTTTTTTTTAAAAAGTAGTATTTCAAATCGCCTCACCACTACCTCTACCACCATCGCCGCCACCGTTATCGCTACCGTCACCGCTGCTGCTGTCGCCACTACTACCACCGTTACCGTCGCCACCGCCACCACTACTGCCACCGCCATCGCCGCTGCCACCGTCACCATGGTCATTGTCAACCACCACAACTATCACCGTCTCCTACCACCACCACTACCGCCCACCACCTCTCACCCTTATTACAAATCGATGCTTAAATTCCTTCATCTCTTCTAAATGTTTGTGATTTAATTTTGAATATAAATATAAATATGTTTATTATTTACCATTTTTTATTACTCTATGCCTTCAAACACATGCAATAACTAGTAATTCTATAAAACACATAGGAAAGATATGACAAACAGATAAAATAGTTCTATGTTTGGATCTAACAAAACCATACCATAATCAAAAAGTACAATGACTCGAGCGACCAGACTTAACATAAATGTAACTACTTGAGCCATTTTAAAAAGGGAGAAATTAGCACTACTTTATAAAATAGGTTCAAGTTAATTTGTTTAATTTAAATGATCTGAAATGTTGTTGTGTTTTACGAGTTAAACTCTTTTACTTTGTTATATAGACATAGGTGTGGTTGGGAATCAATTATCATAATGTAGTATTTCGTAAATATATTTATTTATCTACGATACTTTTTAAAAAGCAGAGCTATTGAAACACGGTTCAAGGGAGGGAAATTTTGGTCCACAAAGAAGTTATCTCAGTCGCAACAGAATTTTTCTTGAGGACCATTGATTAATAAATCCAAATACGCCACAACAGTAAAATCCGAATCAAGCCTTTAATTGCTACAAACAACAATAAAAACAAAACCTATAAGAACAAAATACCTTTCATCCTAAACAAATGAATTTTTCTTAAAGTTCTACCAACTCTTATCATGCCCAAAAAAAGAAAAAAAAAACCCTATAATGATTGTCCCTTTCTCTCTTTATATGACTCACACAAAGTAACTTGGAAATAGATTATAGTACCAAAAAAAAAATTCAATGTCGTACATCTAATTTTTTTTTAATAGGTATTTTTATAATTTTTGTGGATTATTTTACAAAAAAAAAAAAAAAAATTATCACCTTTGCGGGTGATTTATCACTTTTATGTGTGTGATTACCACATTTGTGAGTATTTTTATCATATTTGTGATAACTATTTTTATTATTTTTTTTTGATACAAAAAAATTATCATTTTTTAGGTGATTTATCACATTTATGAGTGTTTTTATTATTGTTATGTTAACTATTTTTATTTTTTTAAGTATTATAATAATAATAAAAATATTTATAAATGTGATAAAAAATGAAAATATAGTACAACTTTTTTTTTTTAATGTAGAGTGGTCAACTCCTAAGTTACTTTATTCTGATTATCATCTTTGTTACTTTTCAGTGCTTCCATTTCATGATTTCTCATTTTGACCAACCAACCGGTTGACAGTTGATATACTGTTTGACCTTGTGCTAGGTCTCGTTGGTGTTCACGGGAAAGTGCTAAACCAAATGATAAAACCTTGGAACCTTTATCAGAATATATAAATTAGTTCAACGATGGAACAAAAGATAAATTACAAGTTCAAACGTTCTAAGCTCGAGTGAGAATAAGAAACAGGTTTTAGTGAAATTGATTGTACAAAATTTAGTTGTAATTGATGTATATAGTTTGCGGATATTGCGTCGTTTGACTTGCAAGTACAATCATGAAATTAAAGTTCGCACACAAAAACATAAAAAAATACTTGAAAATTTTTACATTACAAAATCTTGGTTGTATTTATCAATGTATTTATTGACTCATGTTATCCTTTCTTTTTCTTTTTTTGTTCGATGATAAGTGGTATCCAATTAAGTTACGCATAGCTCAACTATACTTTCTACACACCTCAACTATACTTTCTACACAAAAGGTAGTATGTATAAAAATCTAGAATCTATGGTACAAGAGAGGTGAGCCAGTCATTTTTCACAAGCCCCAAAACTCAAAAAATTGAACGTGAAGAGTAGCTTTTGCACAGCTTGTTATGTTGTTTTTATGCATGTTTCTACACAGATTTGGGTCCCCCACTCCCCTTCGCTGCAGAAAGAGTGCCAGTGTGTTTGATAGCATCTATGAAAATTGGGAATGAAAACAAAAGAGCGAGAGAGAGAGAGAGAGAGAGAGAGAGAGAGAGAGAGAGAGAGAGAGAGAGAGAGAGAGAGATTGTAGATGGTTAAAATGAAGGCAAGCCAAGGGTTAGAATGCAGGATATAGTGCACGTGAGAGGGCAGTAAAGGTGGTGTGCTTTCTGCTTCAAAAAGAAAGAAAAATAAACAGAAAACCCTCTCTCTCTCTCTCTACAAATCCAAGGGCTGGATTATTGCTATAAAATGATTATAGTCTTCATAAAACCAAAATAGAGCTACTCAAGGGTATTGGGTGTCTCAAATCTTTTCATATGCAGGCGATGTAACTTTCGAAACCAAAACATGGCTTTGGAAGCACTTTCTTCCAATGAACTCTTGAACTTCATCATCTACGACACAATCTCTGCAACCCCATATAGCTGCAATGACTCTTCAGAGACGACTACCTTCTTGTTGGACAATGGTCTCCCTCTAAACCCCCAAGAAATAGGTCTTGCCTTGAATAATAGCTCTTTATCAATGGCCCCCCAACAATGCGACTCTGTTGGTGTTGGGCCAGAAACTATCGAAAAGAGAGAGAATTCGTCGGTGCAGACAAGAAAGAAGAGGAGAAGAAGGCCAAAAATCTGCAAGAACAAAGAGGAAGCTGAGACACAAAGGATGACACACATTGCAGTGGAACGAAATCGCCGGAAGCAGATGAATGAGCATCTTGCTGTTTTGCGGTCACTCATGCCCGAATCTTATGTCCAAAAGGTTGGTTTATCTACTGTTTAAATCATCATATATTTATGCATATATAGCATTTTGTTGGTTGAACTTAATTCGACATCTAATTCATCGCAACCATTAGCTTAATTTAATAGTAAATTTCAATGTCTGACAAAATTCAATATCAATTCAACAATTACAATTAATTAGGTCCTAAAGTAAGGTACAAATAGCGTTAAATCATTTTAGTCCCCATATTTTTCTTAGTCATTTGGCCATCCCATCTAATGCAGAAAGATACTGTCTTAAGTTAAATTAAGATTCCTGGGTGATAAAAATAGGGTTTGGGGTTTTTTTTTTTTTTTTTGTTGGGTTGGTTTGGGGGGGTGCCTTTCATGGGAGATTCTAGTTCAAATTCATTCAAATACTCAAATGAAGATTTTCAAGTCCTCAAGCTGCACATTTATCTTGAGATTTGGCTGTTCAATTTCTACATTTTGGTCAAACTGCAACATTGCTTTCGAATATGCGACTGTTGATTGCTCAAATCTTAGTCGTGGTGCTTCCCATTGCTATAGTTAAAGTGACTGCCTAAATTATAGTCGAATTCCTCACATTGTAATCATCTCATTGTAGTTTTAAAAAAAAATTATTAAAATCTAGTGAAGTGACCTAATACCTCGACGTAATAATGGTGTAGTTGAACCCAATATATTTGCAACAGTTGTATTTTTTTTCGCGTTATTAAGTCAGTATTATGCCACAATATTAGGTTCTTATCACATTACTCTTATAGTAAATCCGTCATTGATCTGATCTCTTTTCTTCAATTTTGGCATGTTTACCTTCTAAAGTGAACATAGAAAAAAACCTTTAATGGAGAATTTTGATTCTACAGGGTGACCAGGCCTCTATAGTAGGTGGTGCCATAGAATTTGTGAAGGAGCTTGAGCAACTCCTACAGTCCCTTGAAGCTCAGAAGTTTCTTATTTTACAAGGTGGACAAGAACTCAGTAAAGACACCACCGCCACCACCACCGCCGCCACAAACTTTATTTCATCTCCTTTTTCTCAGTTTTTTGCTTTCCCTCAGTACACCTGTTCTGAAATCCCAAGCAAATACACATCACAGAGTAAAGCAGCCATGGCGGACATTGAGGTCACTTTAATTGAAACCCATGCAAATATTCGAATCCTTTCCCAAAGAAGAGTTAGACAGCTCTCGAAAATGGTTGCTGGGTTTCAGACACTTTCTCTCTCCATACTTCATCTCAATGTCACCACCTTAGACCCGCTGGTGCTCTACTCCATCAGTGCTAAGGTACGTATGTACGTTTGTATAAGTGTGCTCCTACATACCTATTGATAAAAATGTAACAAGATATGTTCACGTGCTATGTGTACCTTTTATCAGAATCATTGTGCATACCTTTGAAATAATTTATACTGAAGAATACGGTACTAAAAGTTTACTTTTTCATGCCAAACTAAGCGTTACTATCATAACCAAACTCATTTAGTTGTAACCTTACTTTTATTTTATAGCAATTTTCCGTTTGGTATGAAAAAGTAAAATATTGATATTGTATTCTTTTTATGAAAAGGGTCGATCCTATTGTAATTTTAGGATCAGTTCTACTTTCTTAGCGACAATATTTTAGAGGTACAACTTGATTTAAATTGAGTATTAGTTTCACTAGATTGAATCATAATCTAATCTTTATCTTGGGGTAACTTTTATTCCGGTACCAAACTCGTTATACTAGTGGTTCCTTGACTCATTTGGTGAGAGTGTTTTAGGGATTTTCCTGGGGATTCTTTTACAATAAGTTGAAGAATAGCTCAAATGGTAACAAGGATAAATTGTAAATTTAGACATTCTGAATTCAAATTTTGATAGTTTTTTGGGGCAGACCATGAGAGGTTTATCTCTCATAAATATTTTAGTTCTGACATGGATGGTTTGCCTTTGACTTAATCGGAGAGAGAATTAGTCGAAGTATACGCAAATTAGTCAATACACCTATTACAATAGAAACAAAAAAAAAAAAAAGTATACTACTCAATTATTTTCAGCAGGGAATGATGGGCAGAAGAGTGGTGGTTTCCAACATTTTTTGGTGTTTTCTATATATGTTTAATTAGTTCAACTGTCACTACTAATAATAGTAGAAAAATATTCAAAGATTCTTTGTCGCTAAAATTTGAAAATTATTCTTGCAGGTGGAAGAAGGGTGCCAACTAAATTCAGCAGATGACATAGCAGCTGCAGTTCACCACATGCTTAGAATAATTGAGGAAGATGGCTATTGTTAACCTCTGTTGAGATCAAACCCTAGCTGACCCCATACATTTGTAAACTTGTAGTGGAATTGCCAGAATGCCACCCTCTCTTTGTTTTCCCCAAGACTTTCTCTTGTTCTTGTATGTATGATTCCTTTTTTCAGTGAATTAACTAGGATTTCCAAACAACGCAGAAGAAAATAAAAAAGAATGAAAATTGGACAATAAAATGAGTTTTGAACGTGCATTTAACGTATGTGTATTGAATCATTGCATGAGCCTTTGAGGGTTGTTTCCAAGAGAGGAGTGCAGATTTTGTTAAACATTCATGAGTGATTATACGAAAGATCATCATATTACAAATAGGAACACTATAATATATGTGTGATGCATGAAATTCAACACGAAATTACCAATATATCACCTATCAAAGTTAGAAAGTTCTAATTAGTTTTGTCGGTTCGGCTACCATTCTTTCGGATTTGCACACAAAAAGGTGTTTTTTTTATCAAATTTTTTGTGTAAAATTTTTTCGCCCAACGAACCTGACACATTCTACAATTATTGAGGCCCACTAAACTAACAATCCAAATGAATTGACAAGAAAAAAATTGAAAGATAGCCTTTTATGTCTTTGTTACGTAGGCTGACTAAAATTAGAAGATAAAAAAAATCACCCTTTTGTTTGTAACTTGCTAATAGGCGTGTAATCAAACAATGTGAGCTATAGCTCAAAGTTGAATTGGCAAACCTTGCCATGGCATAAACCATTCTTTCCTTCTTTTATGATCATAACAATTTGATTGAGTAGATTTCAAAGATTAGGCTACAAAATTATATTAGAAAAATAGACATTGTCTGTCTTCACTCTATGTTGTGAAAGTGCAGTGCGATAAACAATTACGAAAGAAAAACAATCAAGAACAGCCAAAACGAGAAGTTAGTTCAAGTTTGGTAAAATTTTTATATGCGGGGGCGATTGTTTACTATATTAGAATTCTAATAGGGTTACGGTATATTTATAAGCACAGTTAGTAACTCTAATTTTTATCCAAATGGTAAGCCTTGTAAATCTATACACCTAATCTTGTTAAAATTTGTATGCCAGATATCCATTGGACATCTCCAGTGCACCCGCACCATATCGCAAGGGGGTTAAGCTCTATTACGTTGTGCTTATTCGTCACTTCGCTATGCTCTCCTTCATTCTGCTCACTAATCTATTGTCTTTTGGACCTAATAAATTATGACCAACCTAAATATACAACAACAATACTAAGCCCCACTCCCACCCCCACCCCACCCCCACCTCTACCCCACCCTCTGAACGCACAACGATGTCAATTTTTCTTGGTAAAGGAAAAGAAAGAAAGAATAGGTTGTGGTGTATCTGAACCACCGACAGTGAGGTGTCATGGGTAAAGGGAAACTGAGCTGCAGTGCTGCACATAAGGTTTGTTGGTGAAGTATTATATTAAGAAAAGCTGCTCAGAGTATTGTGGAATCGATGTAATTTTCAACCTCTTTGGTTCCTTCCCTTAAGTTTTGTGTCACTTTGTGGAACCAGAAAGAGCCATTGACCCTTAAGCACATACATACACAAGGAGAGGGAGAGAGAGAAGGAGAGGGAGGACAAGCCAACAAAAAACACAGAGACAACACACAGAGAGGTGATGTGATCTGAGCTGATCCCAAAAATCCAATTCTCGGAAGAAGAGAGGTAAAGCGTTCTGATAGATGTACAAAGTTTCTCAGTTGGGCATCTTCTCATCAACATGTGGCTACACATGCATGTGCATGGCCACTTGAAATGATAAAAATGGTTCAATATGATTTCACACAATTCAAGATATATGGGTTCATCCTAACTAGTATATAACAACACAATGGTTTGTTGGCTCTTTTGGAGAAAAAGAATGATAATAAAGTACCAAATAGAAGTATTTTACAGCTCAATAAAGTCAATCTATGACAAAAAAATGTGAACATTAATCCTAAAATATTATAACCAAGTACCAAAACAATCATATTTTGATATATCATCGGTAGGTTGGGTCGAAATCTTTACTGTTATGTCATGATAACTTTAGTATGGTACCGGGAAAAAAAACCTATGTGGTACACTAATCGAATTCCATCAAATTAGATGTTTTTAGTCCATGACGTGAATGGAAATTAATTAATGACATCATAATACTATTTAAATTTAATTTATTAACATAAATTATTTATTTAATAAATCACAATTATTAAATTAATAAACAATTTTAATAAATACTGAGACTTTCGCTATGACTCATAATTACGAGTGATTATATTAATAAATTAGCCCAGACATAAGTTCAAGGACTTTGTCTACGGGTTAATCCAGCTAAGCCCATCAAGCTAAATACTTTTAGGTCCGGGTCCAATTGTTAAGAGCTGATGAAGATTAGATTGAAGCCCTGATGGGCCCTTAACCTGACAACCAGCGGGCTGGCCCTAATAAGCCCCAAACGATTTTTTTCCCAAAGATTTTAAGGGATTTTTAATTTTAAAAGAAAACATATTTAAAGCATAAAGTAGAAAAGCAACTCGATGTTTTGGGTCTACTTGTACGGCCTCTAATAGGCCTATTGCCCTTCTCCGAACCTAATGACCCACCCACTGACTGTCCAGGCTTCCCATCAGCCCAAGGGGCCTCGAGCAGTCCTTTGGGCCTCGGGCTATTTACCCGCTTGGCAGAAACTCCATCATTCTACAACAATGCATATGTATATGGTGATTTAACCGTGGTTTCGGCTCAAATCTAATACAGTGAACCCCACTAACAAGTGATCATCGGGCAAGTGACCCCACAAAGTTCAATAATCACCCATCATTTTTTTAAGTTTTCTGTTGGACAGTTAAATCCACTGGCGGAGCTATAAGTATTCTTTTTTATACTTATAAAATGATACATTGTCCCCTTAACTTTTAAAATAATTGTGTAATGACAGATTTTTTTCACAAGTAGTGAGCTACTATCCACTAAACTAGTAAAACAAATTTTTTTTTTTCCCGAATTGAGTATAAATGAATTTAATATATTATCTTGAATTTATAGAAATAATTTCATACTTGACCCCCCAAGGTTTTAAATAATTTAGGGGCACATATCTAGTATCACAATTAGATGATCTCAACCGAACTTCTAATATAAATGATGGATTGATGATAAATTTAACGTAGAATTAGTCAGGTATAAATAATTTTTGAGATTTAAAAGAATGTTATGTTTTACTTTAATATGAGTAAGTTAAATTATACAAAATAAATATTATTTCGTACCTTTTTGTCCATATTTTGTTGAGGTTGAATGGTATCGATTTTATTTTTTATTTAATAATTTAGTCTTGAATAAATTCAAAATTTTTCCTTTATGATTTTGCCCTTTCTGGTATGGAATTTTGGTTCTGCCCCTGGTTACATCACGTGATATTGTCGACGTTGTGTAACCATTACATTGAATATTTACTCATAAATATGGAGTCCACTTTTTTTTTTTTGGGAGGGGGGGGGGTTGTCAAATAAATGGAAGTCCATGCTCTATAATTAATTTGATTAATGTTTGGTTGATTATCAAGGAAAATGTTATATGAACTTAAAAAGAAGACTTCATAATCACAACTATTGAATAAGTAGTAGGTCTCAATAAATGCTGTAACCCACAGTGAAATTAATGATTGTGATTATCGAGTTTGTTTTTTATGTTCATTTAGTATTTGCTCATTGATAAATCCTTGGCCAACCACATAGATAGGCGACAATAATGTGTGTGTGTGTGTGAGAGAGAGAGAGAGAGAGAGAGAGAACCGAATGGTTACTGACAAATTCTTATCATCAGCCAATAATATTAAGGCATAAGCATAAAAGCAAACGACATCAAGCCAACAAAATTCTATACGAGAAACGAAACTGCAACCATAACAATGGTCCGTGTATTACATTGAGAAATCCCTCATCACTCTTCTTATAGAATGGAAAATTCTCACACATAAATACCCAATCTCCATTAAATATAGTCTTCAAAAATAGAAAATCACAAAGGGATTATTATATTATTCCCTCTCCCACGACTAGTGAACAAGAATCTCCCACTAGAAAATGATCTCTTCATCCCCGCAGGACTTGTAACACAGTGTAGCACCCTATTTTTTTGGCTACACTTGCTCATTTGTGCCACCGGCCGTTTTGATGTCCCAACTTCATCCTGCAAACCTGCATTCTTCGATTTGGAAAACTTCATCTTGATTGATGTGCAAGATATCACTAATTGAAACCCGGGTTTGACATGAATAATCCATTGATACTGATCTTCTAATCTGTTGATCTTCATCCCTAATCTCAATAATGGTGTCATGCTCCTTCGAGTCACCTAAATCGCTATGTGCTCTTATTGGGGCCTCTAGAACAACATCACTCCCTGAGCTTTCTTCTTCTTCTCTAATGCAAATCTCTGTGTTTTGCTCAATAGTTACATTGTCACTCTCATGGGGACCATGGTGTTGAGGTTCATTAGTTGTAGGAGTGTCAGTGATTGGAGGAGGCAATAGAGGCGGTGAAGCGCTGACAAAAACTATGGTGGCTCGACATAGAGGGCAATTTGAGTGAGACCTAAGCCATGTATCAATGCATATAACATGAAAAGCATGGCTACATTTTGGTAAGAGCTTTAGGCTCTCATCTTCTTCAAACTCACTCAGACAAACTGAGCAATCTGTCCCTTCGACTAGTCCATCTCCCTTTGTATACTTGCATACTGTAATGGACTTGATCAGAGCCTCATCTAAACCATTAGCAGCAACATGCCAGGGCTCATGGTTTGATGGATCGTGATTTTCTTCCAATTCCACATTTGGGTCATGAATTTCTCTTCTTGATGAATCTCTATTCCCACAATACTTGGAGATTATAGCATAGTAACTAACAAGAAGGAAGGCACTTGCTAAAATGCCAATGATTGCAATAACAAGAGGGGAAAAATTCGGGCCCGATTTTTCGTCGGGAAATACAAACGGAGGTGGAGGAGGGAAGATGATGTAGCACCATTGTGGGCAGTATAAGCTACAAAAACCCTGAGAACAGTCCTTAGTATTTATATATGGTACCCAAGTTTTTGGGTTGCTTAGAGTACCCATGGCCAACACTTATGTAGAACAATGAAACACTCACTACCCACAAATTATTCAGATTGAAGTGAAGGAGAGGAAAATTTGAAGGATGTCTCTCTCAAACTCAACCAGAACTCTAGAAAACCCAAAAAAAAAGAAAAGAAGAAAAGATTGGAACAGACAAGTAGCTACTTTTGTTAACCTATATTATTGTCTAGAAATTAGATAGATAAGTAATAGCATACAGTTGCAATACTACAAAGTTTTGCTAAAGGAAAAAGAAAAGAGAAGTACCTGAGAATTGTAAGTAATTTAATGGCCTTTTGGAGGGAGGGAGGGAGTTAGGGAGGAGGATTGTCATCTTTCAAGAATAATTAGAAGAATATAAGTACATAATAATGTCCTCACCCGTGAAGTAAATTATCGCACATACAGTCCAACCATTTGGGGGAGAATCAAGGCATAAATTTTGAAAGAAATCAAGGCTTGGTAAGGGTTGAAAAACAGGTAGAGAGAGAGAGAGAGAGTTCTTGTGATGGATCTCTCTTGAAAAGACAAGCAGAGGATGGAGGAGGAGCCAAAGCAACATAGACAGAAAGCAGAGCAAAAACAGGAAGATGATATGCTGATGGGTATTCTTCTTTTTCTTTTCTTGCTCTTGCTCATCTCTTTTTCTTTTCTTTAGTTTGCTTTCTTGGGGATAATGGTTTGTTGACTAAGGTGGTGATGTTGGTTGGGAATTCATCAAAGTAATCAATGCTTTTGTTATTGTTCAAGCCAGTTGCAAGGTAAAGTGAGTGTATTGCATGGGACAGTCTCTGCTTTTAAAATTTATAAAGTGAAATTGGCATGTGTATGGTGTAGCCTTCTCAATTGTAACTTGACTACGAGCAGATACCCCACATTTACTGAGAAGAATCAGGATACGTGGTTTGAAGACTAGCTACCAAGTTAGATCTACCAATCTTGAGAGTGAACAATTCTGCAAGAGAAAATATTAGCTACAAGGGCATGGCATCTTATACAATTTTTCTTATCCCTTTTTCCATATTTATTATTGAGTCATATCAATGTTTGAGTTCTGTCATTCAGGTTTGTGTCATGTTTGTGCAAACAGTGAACCAGAAGTCGCAAGACTTGTGTCCCTTTCTCTATTAACCAAATACACTAGACGTGTATTTCTAAATTACATCCAAAATCCTAGCAAAACCAAACCAAAATCATTTAATTTTATAACATTTCATTCACCAGTAGATCAAGGGAAAAAAACAAAAAAAGAGCCAAGTATGTATCGTGTCGTGTTGTGTTGTGTTCATGTGAAGGGGTAAAATTGACAACATATGAAGGGACTGAAAGCTGGGAGTTGAGGTGGATTCGGCATACCTAAAAAGAGGAGAATATTTGTAGGACATACCACATTACAAACAAATGAAAACAAAACACTTCAATTTCTTCTTTCCAGGGCATCATAATGCCACTCTCAAGGCAGTTGATGCCCACTTGAGAAGGGTATATATTCTCACTTTATTACATATATTATCTTTCCTACTTTAAGTGTTGAGACAGAGATCTCCTTGAGGAAGTAGAGGTGGACTAATGACATTCCAAAAGGCACAAAAGCATCAATCCTCCTGGGTTTTCAAGGGATTTAAGAAAGTTTAAACAGTGGTATTAAAACATTACTCAGACAGAATCTAAGGAAGTTACTTTATTGACAGAGTAAATGTGAAGTCAAAAAAGAAAAGAAAATGGTATCGAATTGCAGTCATTTAGTTGACAGAGAATCTTATTCGGTCTTTTGAGTGTATAAAACAGTCGATGGAGAAGCTTTTACGACTCATTCAGTTTAAAAATCAAGAAAACTATCTTTGAAAGCAATCCACCAACAACCTGCCAAAAGATTTTCTTTTCCTCTCATCTTGGGTAAGGATGGTTGTTCACCAAAGAGTTGATATTTATGATTTTACATTATCATATGTTGGACAACATTTGGTAAAGACATTTGGAATGCACAACTTCGTTGTATCCTTTAGCATTAAGTACTTCATCTTCCTCAATAACTTCCTTCAAATGTTAGATCTTTTTTAAGGTGGTGTATGGAACTGAGTTTGTTGGTCTTCTTGGGTTTCTGTGATTTGCTAATACTGTTGGTCAGTTGTAAAAAAACTGAAATTCCAAGAGGTTGTTCAAATACTAACAAGAACAAACTATAAGTTCAGACGTCTTATGTTCAAAACTTGGCTAGGTCATGAGAGATTTATTTCTCGTGAATATCCTAATTCTGGTATAGATGGCCTGCATTTTGATTGAACAAAAAATGAGATTAGTCGAAATACACGTAAGTTAACTCAGACACCCCTGACCATTTAACCAAAAAAAAGTAAAAAAATTGTATTTGATTCTTTATGTATGTCTTTGATAAAAATAAATAAAAAAAATTCATGTTTCTTTACCCAATTTCTATAACACCATCACTGTCTTCCTTGTGTCACTTCAAAATGGAATGATATTCTCCAGTGGGTAGTTCCCCAGTGCAAGTAAAAATAAAGGGCATTTAGATCACGATAGCAATGAAAAAAAAGACACATTTTTATGTTTCTTTCTAAGGTGTACCCTGCCTAATAACATCACAAGGAGAAACCCCCCTTTAAATCTGGAAAAATATAAAATAAACTTTAAAACTTGACTTAATAAATTATTATCATTGAATACATAATAGATTTCAATAAAAACTAGAACTCGCTGTTAAATCAATAACAAATATAACAATCACATCATCAAGTCAAAATTTTAAGCCTAGCATTGATCATTAAAATGTGAAGCACCAATATAGGATTCATTTTCTCTCTTTATTTGATCTTATCTCTCAAATCTTGTTGTACATGACAATGTTGAGTGATAATTGCGGGGTAAATTATACTTTGCACCTTAAAAGATTTAACGATTCTAACTTTACACCTTTAAAAATTAAACTTTTCATATTTTACTCTCACTGTATCAATATATTAAAGGTGTAATGTGAAAAATTTAATCTTTAAAGTGCAAAATTAAAATTTTAAAATCTTTCAGTGTACAAAGTGCAAAAAAGCCTGATTGCGGTTTTGTATATCTTTGCTACAAGAATTGTTTTGTTTAAATTACTCATTCACATCCCTTTGTCTAACTTTCTTGTTTGGTTAGTAATTCTGTGTTGTCCAGCCTCCTCTGAAGGCAAAAAGAAAGAAAACATTCATTGCAACAATGTGGGATCCATTTGTCCACTTGTTATTCTATTATTGGACAGTTACACCATATCATGCGTGATGACATACTGTAACCGTTGCAATGAATATTTTTTCATTCAAAGAGACAAGCCGAATATGCAACACCAAAAAATTACATTCCTTTATAAATCACATAAAATATATATTTGCTACAGCTAATGAGCACAAACCAGGTAACATATAACATTTACAGGTCTGGGAAAATTAGTGAGATAAACAATGCACCAAACTTATAGGTTGAAGTGCTTACAGAGAAAGAGTAGTAAGAAAATGCAAATTGTGGAGACTATGTTCCTTTGAGCACTTTCATACGTAGGACGAGCTGAAATTTCCTGTTTTCACTGTATTTCCCATCTTAACCTACACACACAGATGAAGAGCACCGAGAGTTTGTGTCAATCTATGACTGCAGGTTGTTCATCAGTCATGCCTTCCTCTTTCTTGGCAGGTTCATCGATATTCTTTTCACTTATTTTCAAACTTATTGGTCGGCCCAACAATTCCTGCATTAGGAAATTCAAAGGATCAAACTTCCCTCCCTAACCCAACGTCCTACTACACAAGATTGAAAGAATATATATACAAGATAACCTATTTCATGTATCTATTCTGAATTAACACCAATGATTGACCTATATTACTTGAAATACAAATATGCACAATCTATATATGCATACATGTCAAGCACTCATACTGCAAGACGTGTAGGCTGGTCTGTGCATTTTCTTGTTCACCAACAAGCAAATTTATGTATGTAGCTATGGAATAACGAGTGCAGAAGACACCCAAGTACACTCACGATACATACACAATGGAACAATGTACTAATATTAAATAGTTAATAATCTGCTCTATGTTCCAGTGGATCCAAAAGATCATGATTCCTAAGAAAATATCAATTCAGCTGCAGACTCCAGTACTCCACATCTCCTAAAAGTTCCCCAATTATTAATTATTTCCTCTGCTTTCCAATGGTTCCAAGATATCATTATTCATTAGAAAATATCGATTTAGCTGTGCACCATAGTATTCCACATATCATAAAAAATTCTCACCACCAAATCATGAAAACCTAAGAAAAAAAATCAATACACCTATCCAAAGCAACATTACTTTCAAAAGGCACAATACCCCCATTAAATCACCTTATTATAAGACAAAAAATTTGAAAATAACCAAGTTGTGACCCATTCAACCTATCAATTCTTCTCTAAAAAGCCTAATCCCTCATGCAGTAGATTAGAAGAGCACAAAAAAAAAAAAATACCAATAAAATGAATCACACCTTCCCATCCAAAGCAGAAAGCGCAGCCTCCGCTTCCTCCTTTGTGGCAAATGAGACAAACCCATATCCACCAGATCTTCCTGAAGGACTATCAAAGACAACCCTAGCTGAAACTGGCTCAAAATTGGCAGAAAAAAGTTCTCTGAGATGGGTAGACCTAGCTTTCCACGCAAGATTGGACACATAAAGCTTATGGCGGGTCTCTCTGGGTGGTGGACTGGCAGGAGCAGGAGGAGAACGCAAAGGTTTCTTGAATCTCTTTGCAAACTCTATCCTGATAATCCTACCCAACAATTCCTGCACGGCGAAAAATAAGTAAATTACCAACATGTTTAAAAGTAATAAGCCCATCAAATATTGACAATCAACTTTTTGTTCTTGCTTCAAGGGAAAATAGTCGTATAATGTCCTGAGGCTCGGAAAGTCAAGCAAGAGACTCACTAGGCACTTGCATTACAATACATATAGAGGTGTCGCTTTTGTGCCTATGCATACCCCATTCATGAAACATATGCCTTGTTGCCTAATTGCTAAGTCTTTCCCTCAAACCTCATGAAGTTACCAAACTATTTGTCCTTTGTTACAGAAAATATATGCACAATGGTCATATAACCATATTTTAACACACAGAAAGAAACAAGTGAACACAAACACAAACACATTATCCATTGTTTATTCAATCATGTCCATTATCCACACTACCTTGCTATATCTATACAAAAATCGTTAGATAATCCTATTAGAATCTGTTTTATGAAACCACTTCTTTGATTTTGGGTTAGACCAAGGTGTCTCAAACCTTGTTATAAATAGAGACAAATCCATAGCCATACACAATTTGCTCTCTAACTATCCGTATAAGGCAAGAACATGGAATTTGGAGGATTTTCCAGAAAGCCGTGCTCCTAGCCAGCAGCTCAACTACCCATATGGAATGAGACGCTTCTTTCGCACAACATTGGTTAAGATCATATAATGCAACATTGTCCACTAGGACATGCAATCATCTACACTAATTACCATCCCCTAATTGAAATGTTATCTCATCCTAAAGCATTCATAACCTTTATCTTTAAAGAAGCATCCATACTACTACTACTACTATTACTACTACAACATACCTAATTATGATAACTATCCTATGACCTCCAACATTTTGTCACACTTGTGCAGTAGTTTTTGGTATTCATACTTGACACAGTTAGCATCTCTCTTAGACTTCGCTTTTCCCTCAGCTTAGCTAGTCTGTATTGTTCTTTTGCTCTATCCCCAACACATTCCAGTTATTTTTCATTATACCTCAATTAGCTACACGTCCTGCACTCCTATATGTCTACTTATTTCTATTCCTTCACTAATATTCATATCATTGTCATTAATATTCGCAAATGTCTGAATGGATGGGCTATATACATAAGGAGCAATTCAATCCAAATTTTGACTTTCACATCTTTGTATATGTGTTTCCTTGAGCATCTTATGGATTGTATTATATGAAGGCACTAAAATACAAGTGGAGCACCAAAATTTAGAGTGAGAAATTTAGTATGTCTAATAAATTAGAGGTACCAAGTACTCTTTCTATACTTAACAATCGAATTAGCACCATGTCAATTGTTTTTATTGGCTTTAATATAAAATAGGAATCCATTTTTCATAATATATAGACTAAAAAGAACCTAGAAAGTTAATTCCGAAAGCAACTTACATTAGAGTCAAATTTCTCAATAACAGCTTGAGCTTCTTCGGCAGAAGCCATTGTGACAAATGCAAAGCCTCTGTTTTTCCCATCTTTCTGCTTTATAAACTGAAAGTCAACCAAAAAACCTGTATTAGATATCTATATGCATACATGTACAAAAACTTACTTACATACCTATATATATGAGAGAGAGAGAGAGAGAGAGAGAGAGAGAGAGAGAGAGAGAGAGAATGGACCTCAACATCTACGACAGTTCCACATTCCCCAAAGAGGTTCTTAATATCAGCAACAGCGTAAGACCAGGGCAAATTGAGCACGAAAAGCTTTCTTCTTTGATCAGGTTGTTGCGTTTTCTCTGGTTTTTCTTCTACTGCTATTTCTTGAACTGACGAGCATACTTCAAAGCTCAATTTTCTGGTGGGGGTTAATGAGAGTTGAGTAGGGGAACAGAGAGGGAATTTGATTGAAACAGTACGTGTAGAATTGGAAATGGCGAGCTTTAAAGAGGTAGAAAGTGGGATAATGGGAATTTCGTAAAAGATGAAGGTCTGGGACTTGGAGAGAAGATGAAGTATCCTACTTGAAGTGCCGCCATTGCCGTGAAGCCAAGAGAGAGAAACGGTTTAATGAAAAGTTGAAGCTAAGGGTCGCCAATTGTCGGGCCGGTCGGGCCAGTAAGTTGTGTTTCCAGGCCCACGGCCTGTTCCACGGGCCGTTACCTTGATTGAAGCCCACAGATTGTATTTTCCTTTTTTTTTTTAATAGGATTTGTTTTATTCAGATAAATCAATTTTAAATTTTATGAATTAGTAACCATTTAAAATTTGGAAAGAGTGGCTCAAATCGTATGCCTATAGCAACCGAATGTTATCGGCTCAATTCAAGTATCGAAGATTTGTCGAATCCATTCGTCTACGAATCACATCAACCTCAATTTTTATACACAATATCATAATAAACAGGTAAAAAATGCATTTTTAATCATGTTTTTTTTTATTTATTTTTTGTTGAATGTTAAAAATGTCTTTTTTTTAAATATAAAATCTGAATTGAAGAATTTTTGAATTCATATTATTCTTATATGATTTAGCTTGTGATTTCAAATCGTTCGGTTGTCTATGAGTATACTACTGTTCATTACACATTTTTCATAAGTTCCAAAGTATATATTTACATATTCGTTATAATAATGTCATAGTTACATTTACGCAGAACAATAATCATCAAAATAGTATTGACTTTTATAAAGTGATTAAATAGAGTGACCTCTTACAATGATTCGGAAGGAACTATAATCATCGACCTGATAGTGACTTAATAAAGTGACGACATAGATTGACTTCACACAGAATAATAATAATCAACTTGGTCGTGACTTCATAGGGTGACCAGGTAGAGGAACAAGATAAAATGGCTTTACACAAGCTAATAAAAAATCAAACTTGTAGTGACATCATAGAGTGACCTAATTGAGAGATTACATAGAGTGAATTCAAACTCTTTGTCATGGCGTTTGAGACATAATAGTTAATTTTTCATTTAATCCTAATTTTTTGGTCAATGAGATCATTGTGTAGTTGACATTCAAATTTTTCGATGCCACAATAGACCTCATGAAATATGAAAACAAGGTATCAATGGAGACTAAAGGATGACTAAATAGTGTGACTAAGTAGACTGAATTCAAAAAAAAAAAACTATAATAATCAAAATAGTATTAACTTAATAGGTTGACCACTTAGAATTATTATACAGAGTGATTGATACTTGTTACAAATTAATGAAACTTGCGGTTGTCATATCTTGAAAGTTAGAAACTGTTGAATTAGTCTTTGCTAAATTAGTCTTTGTTGAGTAAGTCTAGTTTGTTTTAAGTTTTCCATTTATTTAGGAATACTGATTGTCTTCCTTTATTTAGGCAAATAATCTCATAGACACGTTGGTGTTGGTTGAGATCTTCTAGGAAAACTTTTAGTATTTATAATCTTTGTAATCCGGGTTTTGCTTCAGTTCTTCATTGAGTAATAAAAATTCAACTTCAGCATCACCTTTGTTTTTTTTTTCTTGGTTTCTTCCAGTCTCTACATTTATTACATGGTATCAGAGCTTAGTTTCCTACCATGTGTTTGATTTTATTGCTCAAGGGAGATGAATGGTGAAAGCAATGTTTCTGTAGATAAGCTTGTTGGTAACAACTATAATTACTAGAAGCTATGCATGGAAGCTTATCTATAAGGGCAGGACTTGTGGGATCTTATCTCCAGTGATGATGCTGTAATTCCAGAATATACACCCCAAAATGCTGACTTACGGTGAAAATGGAAGATTAAATGCAGCATAGCCTTGTTTGCTTTACGATCTTCGATCAGCCAAGACTACATCGCACATGTTCGTGATGTCTTGTCGCCAAAACAAGTGAGGGAGACACTTGAACGATTGTTCACGCAAAAGAATGCAATGTGGTTGCAGTACTTGGAGAATGAACTTGCTGGAATGACTCAAGGTACTTTTTCAGTTCCAGAATATTTTTTGAAAGTCAAAACCTTGTGTGCTGAAATTTCAGAACTGGATACAGAGGGACCCGTGAGTAATGCTCAGTTGTGTCGTTATCTCATTCGTGGACTGCGAAAAGAGTTTATGCCCTTTATTTCTTCTATACAAGGGTGGGCAACATTACCTTTAATTTTTGAGTTAGAAAATCTTCTTTCTAATCAATAAGACTTGGTGAAACAAATGACCAGCAATGATAAACAATCTCTGTCTCAAATGGATGATGCTCTGTTCACAAAGGACCAAGATAATAAGAATTGCTCTAAGCAAGGTTCTGGTGACACCGAGCAGTCCAACACTGAAGGGAAATTCAGAGAAAATTCAAAATGATGTTTTCAGTGCGGACAACTGGGGCACATGAAGTGTGATTGTCATGTAAAGTTGTGTGTAATAGATGCGGAAGATCTGGTCATATTAAAGCCAACTGTCATATCAAACTTATGGAAACAAGTGCAAATGTTGCTCATGAACAAGATGAGTCTGAATAGTCCAAATGAGAGAATTTCTTGTCTATTACAGCTACTAATCAATCAACTATTGTGACCTCTGCACAGACATATGTTAATGCCTCCATAGACTACAACAATGAATGGATTGTTGACTCTGGTTGTTCTCATCATGCAATGGGAAATGATTCTTTATTGTTGGACGTTCGTCCACTTTGTGGGAAGAAAACCATTGTGACAACTGATAATTCCTTATATCCTGTTGAGAAAGAAGGGCATTTTGAGGTAGATATTTCGAATGACAGAGGAGTTTCTCTCAAAGATGTTTATCATGTACCAGGCCTAAATAAGAATCTTGCCTCAATTTCTCAAATAACTAATGCTGGGAGGTATGTTCTCTTTGGTCCCCAAAATGTCCAAATTCTTTCTAATGTAAAGCATATAGAAGCTGATGTTTTATTTATTGGGAGAAGGAAAAAATCATTATATGTTTTGTCTGCAAGTGATGCATATGTTGAAAAAACATGTCAGAATGATAGTGCAACGTTTTGACACAATCAGTTAGGACATGTTGAGTATCAATTGTTGTAGAAAATCTCCACAAAGAAGCTTCTTGATGGAGTTCCTCTTTTTAACGAGATTCACCATGATGTAGTTTGTCCTGGGTGTCAATATGGAAAATCATATCGCCTCCCTTTTCCATATTCAAAGAATAGAGCTTCTGCTACGTTACAACAACATTCAAATCTGATGAGGCCAACAAATACACCCAGTTACTCTGGTTTTCGCTATGTAATGGTTCTTGTGGACGACTTTTCTCGGTTCACTTGGGTGTACTTCTTGGCAAACAAAAGTGAGGCTTTCTCTAAATTTGTACAGTTCAAGGAACAGGTAGAGAAAGAATTTGAGCTACAAATTAAGTGTCTACACACCGACAATGGAGGAGAATACATGTTTGATCAATTCCTCAATTACTGTAGAGAACATGGCATTCAGCGTCAAATGACTTGCCTGGAAACTCCACAACAAAATGGAGTTGAGCGCAAGTTGGCACATCTTACATCCATGTGCTTGTCATGGTTGCCTACAAAAAAACTTTCAAGAGAGCTGTGGACAACAACTGTTCAATCAGCTTGCCATGTCATAAATCGTTTATCTTCATGGCCAGGGACAGAACCATCTCCTTTTGAAGCACTATACCGTCACAAACCCAATGTGAGTTATTTTCCAGTCTTTGGTTCATTTTGTTATGTCCATGTCTCAAAAACTAATCGGACTAAATTGGACCTAAGAGCAAGGCGCTGTATTTTTGTTGGTTATGACACTCATAGGAAAGGATGGAAATATATGGATCCGAAAACAAAGAAAGTTGATGTTTCTCGTGACGTGGTGTTTGATGAAGTTTCACCACCTCAAATTGATACCGATAGAGGTACAATTGATCTTTCACCCTTCCCTGATGGTGCATCCAGTATAGGGATGTCAGTAGACCGAAGCGAGGGCGGAAGGTATAGTCTCCATCTCCGTACCCGCTTAAAGAACTTTCGTTCATCCCCGATCCACCCCCATTAACGAGTATAATTTTCATCCCCATTCCCGTCCAGGGGTAAATTTCTAATCCCCATCCCCTGCCCCCGTCTCCGCTTCCCCCCTTAATTGTTCAAGCCCAAGTTCAAGTAAATGTAAGTTAAGATTAAACATTGCATTAAGAGATAAAAAAAAATACTATCAATTACCTTAGAATTGCTGCACAATATTCCTAAAGGATCATAGGGCAGAATTAACAACAATTGAGAGAAAATTCCATGGAAAATAGTTAACCCAAAGAAAGAAAGCCAATCAAACAATATCGTCATCTGAGACACTCAATAAGGCTAAAACAAAAAATACTGAAAAAATCATATACATAACTACAATAATTGTATTTTAAAAACGTAAGGTTTTAAGCAGTTTTGTCATGTGTGTGTAATCAAATTCATTTAGCAAGTCTTCAATCACATTCTTGATAGCCATTGAAATTAGTATTTCTCATTCCAAAATATAACGACTGTTCATTCATTCATAGTAATACCTAGTTCCAAAAATAAGAAGAAAAAAATAAAATAAAGGGATTTCTACAGTTATTGGGTAACAAAGAACTATAAAAATAATAGTGTGATAAATTATGAAGACAATGTGAAAATAGAAAAATAAATCAGAAACAGGGAATAAAAATGAAATCTACGAAAATCATGCAACGAAAATTCTTTGAATCTAATGATTTATACATGTACGTTGAAAACCATAAATCCTCCTTTTGACTTCCGTCGGAGTCACGTTGATGCTCTGTTTTTTATTTCCAATCGTATTTCAAACGTGAAAACGAGAGAGAGAGAGAAAGATTGAATCAAATTAAAGAATTCAAACCTGGAGGCACTGGATGGCTTGTTATAGATTTGAAAAAGTTTTGAACAAACTCATTACAAACCCTCATCATAAGTTGCCAACTCGTAACATTGTGATCCCGAAGATCGCCCCATAAATATTCCCAAATTTAGTCTCTATCCAATCAATTTTGGCCAAAGTTTATGGGTGGGGTGTTTTAGGGGGAGAAAGAGAG